TGGGCTCTATCTTTTGCTGGTTTAAATTGAATTTTGTGCAGAGATTTAAAAGCTCGTGTGAGTGAGAGTTTTTCATCAGAGCTACCTCCTGGTGTTATTACTGCAACAATATTATTTGCTATATTCCTCCATTTTAGGTGCCTTAAGTTGAAATCCCCCAGGGCAAGATGTTGGGTGCAGGAGCTGGAAGATTTTCCAGACAGTGGTCAATTTTTAACAGCTGTTCCTGGAATTGCTGGGATGTTGCATCCGGAGGCTTGTAGACTACCACAATGACTAGGTTTTGGTTCTCGACCTTTACTGCTAAAACTTCCACTACATCTTTTGAGGCATTAAGCAGTTCGTGCAAACAAGTGACTCTGCAATGTACAGGCCAACCCCCCCCCCTTTTGCCTGTTCACCCTGTCACATCTGTATAGGTTGTAACCTGGGATCCATATTTCGTTGTCCAAGTGATCCTTTATGTGGGTCTCAGTGAAAGCCGCGAACATTGCCTTTCCCTCTGCAAGCAGTCCACGGATGAAAGGTATTTTGTTGTTTTTTTGCTGGCTTTTGCCCCTGTATATTTGCAAAGAAGAATGTCATCGGACTGGTGGTATTGTTGGTACTAGGGAGAGATTTTTTTTCCGGCATTAGTATCTGTATCTGTTGGTTTGGAGTGGAGGCCATCGCCCTGTGGTTCCACTCCAGGAATGACTGGATTTGGTGACGATTTCTGCCATTTCCTGCCAGTTTTTTTTCTTCCTAGCACTAAAAAACCTTCCTCTTGAGTGGCTGTGGCTACCCAGGTTTTCCATGGCCTGGATGTTTTGTATCTTTTTGTCCCCTTTAGATGGTGGGGCCTGGCAATTTAAGTTATAGCACAATCTTTCCTGTACTGAAGAGGTACACATTTCAGGGTGAAAAAGCTTACAGGAAGGGAGTTTGCATTTTCTGTTGTCTATGGCACGGCATTTTCTAGGGTGGTCATAGTTGCACGTCCCGTCTGTTTTTCCAGATTTCCATGTCTGCAGATACCAAGTGCTAGTATGTGCACAGGCTTGGTTTTCGTTTGCCTTGGGTTTCTGGGGACTGTATTCCCTGTTGGAGCTGTTTCCCTGTCTTATTCCTATCCTCCCTAGCACCAACAACGGAGCTCCCACCAGTTGTTTTTGGTAATATATCCTCACTATTGCTAGTGGAGTCCTCTTGTTTGCTATTTCCTGTGGTATTTCTAGTTTGCAATATTGGTTTTATCTTATCTTTGACTACACTTGTTTCCCCACTACGGCTCCTGTCCCCTATGAGGTCATTTATATGTATTCCTTCCTGCAGGTGAAGGTTTATAAACTAAAAGAGGAGGCAGTTAGGGTAAGATATAAACAGCTATTGGAGGATAGATGGGCTAATGAGAGCATAGGCAATGGGGTCGAAGAGGTATGGGGTAGGTTTAAAAATGTAGTGTTAGAGTGTTCAGCAGAAGTTTGTGGTTACGGAAAGTGGGTGCAGGAGGGAAGAGAGCGATTGGGGGAATGATGATGTAAAGAGAGTAGTAAGGGAGAAAAAGTTAGCATATGAGAAGTTTTTACAAAGTAGAAGTGATGCAAGGAGGGAAGAGTATATGGAGAAAAAGAGAGAATTAAGAGAGTGGTGAAGCAATGTAAAAAGAGAGCAAATGAGAGAGTGGGTGAGATGTTATCAACAAATTTTGTTGAAAATAAGAAAAAGTTTTGGAGTGAGATTAACAAGTTAAGAAAGCCTAGAGAACAAATGGATTTGTCAGTTAAAAATAGGAGAGGAGAGTTATTAAATGGAGAGTTAGAGGTTTGGGAAGATGGAAGGAATATTTTGAGGAATTGTTAAATGTTATGAAGATAGGGAAGCTGTGATTTCGTGTATAGGGCAAGGAGGAATAACATCTTGTAGGAGTGAGGAAGAGCCAGTTGTGAGTGTGGGGGAAGTTCGTGAGGCAGTAGGTAAAATGAAAGGGGGTAAGGCACCCGGGATTGATGGATAAAGATAGAAATTTAAAAGTAGGGGGGATATAGTTTTGGAGTGGTTGGTGCAATTATTTAATAAATGTATGGAAGAGGGTAAGGTACCTAGGGATTGGCAGAGAGCATGCATAGTTCCTTTGTATAAAGGCAAGGGGATAAAAGGAGTGCAAAAATTATAGGGGGGTAAGTCTGTTGATGTACCTGTAAAGTGTATGGTAGAGTTATAATTGAAAGAATTAAGAGTAAGACGGAGAATAGGATAGCAGATGAACAAGGAGGCTTTAGGAAAGGTAGGGGTGTGTGGACCAGGTGTTTACAGTGAAACAATAAGTGAACAGTATTTTGATAAGGCCCAAAGAGGTCTTTGTGGCATTTATGGATTTGGAAAAGGCGTATGACAGGGTGGATAGGGGGGGAATGTGGCAGATGTTGCAAGTGTATGGTGTAGGAGGTTGGTTTTCTGAAAGCAGTGAAGAGTTTTTTATGAGATAGTGAGGCTCAAGTAGAGTATGTAGGAAAGAGGGAAAATTTTTTCCCAGTAAAAGTAGGCCTTAGACAAGGATGTGTGATGTCCACCGTGGTTGTTTAATATATTTATAGATGGGGTTGTAAGAGAAGTAAATGCGAGGGTCTTGGCAAGAGGCGTGGAGTTAAAAGATAAAGAATCACACACAAAGTGGGAGTTGTCACAGCTGCTCTTGCTGATGACACTGTGCTCTTGGGAGATTCTGAAGAGAAGTTGCAGAGATTGGTGGATGAATTTGGTAGGGTGTGCAAAGAAGAAAATTAAAAAGGGGAATACAGGAAAGAGTAAGGTTATGAGGATAACAAAAAGATTAGGTGATGAAAGATTGAATATCAGATTGGAGGGAGAGAGTATGGAGGAGGTGAACGTATTCAGATATTTGGGAGTGGACGTGTCAGCGGATGGGTCTATGAAGATGAGGTGAATCATAGAATTTTATGAGGAAAAAGAGTGAGTGGTGCACTTAGGAGTCTGTGGAGACAAAGACTTTGTCCTTGGAGGCAAAGAGGGGAATGTATGAGAGTATAGTTTTACCAACGCTCTTATATGGGTGTGAAGCGTGGGTGATGAATGTTGCAGCGAGGGGGAAGGCTGGAGGCAGTGGAGATGTCATGTCTGAGGGCAATGTGTGGTGTGAATATAAAGCAGAGAATTCGTAGTTTTGGGAAAGTTAGGAGGAGGTGCGGGATTACCCAAAACTGTTTTTCCAGAGGGCTGAGGAAGGGGTTTTTGAGGTGGTTCGGACATGTAGAGAGAATGGAGCGAAACAGAATGACTTCAAGAGTGTATCAGTCTGTAGTGAAGGAAGGCGGGGTAGGGGTCGGCCTAGGAAGGGTTGGAGGGAGGGGGGGTTTAAAGGAGGTTTTGTGTGCGAGGGGCTTGGACTTCCAGCAGGCATGCGTGAGCGGTTTGATAGGAGTGAATGGAGACAAATGGTTTTTTTAATACTTGACGGCTGTTGGAGTGTGAGCAAAGTAACATTTATGAAGGGATTCAGGGAAACCGGCAGGCCGGACTTTTAGTCCTGGAGATGGGAAGTACAGTGCCTGCACTCTGAAGGAGGGGTGTTAATGTTGCAGTTTAAAAACTGTAGTGTAAAGCACCCTTCTGGCAAGACAGTGATGGAGTGAATGATGGTGAAAGTTTTTCTTTTTCGGGCCACCCTGCCTTGGGGGAATCGGCCGGGTGATAATAAAAAAAAAAAAAAAATAATTCCTGACTACCTGGACAAAATCTCCAGTTCACCATTACTGTCTCCCAGGACAGCACCTCCAGCTTCACTATTACTGTCTCCCAGGACAGCACCTCCAGCTTCACCATTACTGTCTCCCAGGGCAGCACCTCCAGCTTCACCATTACTGTCTCCCAGGACAGCGCTATCAGCCCCCCATTTACTGACTAAACCCGGACATCACCTCCAGCCTTACAGTTTCTGACTACATGGCCAGTATCAAGGCAGTACCATTCAGCCCAGACTTTTTATGTTCCCATCTGTTGTAGAAAGTTCCAGGTTTTCTATGAAAGCAGCTTTGATGTTATCCTCTTTTAATACCCTTGTGATTTAGTCCACAGATTTAATCTCATTTGGGCATACCCAAAAACACTTCCTGTTTTATACTGCTTGTAGCTAGTTCTTGGATATCTGCACAAATGGCGTGACACCAAAATCCACAAAAATGACAATTTATCCATGTGAAGCCCGTTTGTTTTTATTGACTGCAGATACACAGAGCTTCATAATGGTTTGAATGGTTGATTTACTGTAATTCTACTAGCAACCTCTTGAATACTCTATTAATAACCTCCTTAATTGAAGCTCTAGCTATTTGTATTTCTATTTCTAACTGTACTTGTATATTGGACAGCCCACCGTGTACGTTCCTGATTTATATTTATTGTTTGTGTTTGATAAGGGCGCCTACAACCCCATCCATTTACAGTCTGCTTTATTGTCCAACGAATCCGTTTGAAACCAGTCAAGGGTTCAGACCAGTCAATGGTTCGGAACCAGTCTGATCTGATCAGTGGGTCACTTATTTAAAACATACTGGTCGGTGATTTGGGCTAACACATGAAGGATCTACTTGAAATTATCTACCTGAATAATATGTGATTTGATTGATACAAAAGTATAATTGCGTGTTGAAGAACCGGTGATTGCTGGCAGCTCCTACAGTGACGAACGGTCGAGCCTGAACCCTTGTTTATCAATCGCTGTATCTAGCTTTTCTAGGTTTTTAAGCATGTGTGTGTGTGTGTGTGTGTGTGTGATTAAGCGTGTGTGTGTGTGATTAAGCATGTGTGTGTGTGTGATTAAGCGTGTGTGTGTGTGTGTGTTTGTGTGATTAAGCGTGTGTGTGTGTGATTAAGCATGTGTGTGTGTGTGTGTGTGTGTGTGTGTGTGTGTGTGTGTGTGTGTGTGTGATTAAGCGTGTGTCTGTGTAATTAAGTGTGTGTGTGTGTGAGTGAACAAAATATATGGATAAAGATGCACCAACCTTATGACATATCTGCCCTTGAGAGAGGCTGGCACACAGTGTAGCTTGCCCGTTGAGTTTAGTGTCTTCAGCAGCTTCTCTGTGAGTTCATTGTCACCCTTAAGTCTGAACACCACCATTCCCAGGTACCGTACTGCTGGTACTTCGAACCTGTCATCAGACCTCACCAGAGCCTCGAACTTCTTGGCCAGCCTCACGCCCTGCACATTCAATCAATCAATTAATCAATCAAGTTTATTCTCTATAAGGATTACAATGCGGGGTTTGCAGATTTTGGATATTGTGTGGTTTACACGTTTTAAAATACTAATTACAAAGGGGGCCACTAGGACACCTAGCATGGCTAGGCATTTTGGGCAGACTTAGATTAATTCTAAACTTTAAATTATTACAGATTATGGTATTAAGGCTAAGTGACTACATTATAGTTTGTAAGTTTAGCAATGTGAATGCTTTTGTTTTGGCACAATACATAGTTTCTATATTGGAGTATCATAGACAAACTTATGACTAGTTAGGGTTCATTATTTTAAGATTAAGATTCGTATTTCTATGTTTATAGTCGATGGGTGAGTGAGTGTAAGTGTGAACCACCAGGTGGTTATCATGTAGTTAGTTGTCGGGGTGTATCAGGGAAATAAGATGTTTTCTAACAGTAGTTTTGAAAGTGATGAATGTGTCTGCAGTTCTAGAGTTTTCAGGTAGGGTGTTCCAGATTTTAGGCCCTTTGACACACATTGAATTTTTGTAAAGGTTTAGTCGGACACGGGGAATGTCATAGAGATGTTTGTGTCTGGTGTTATGCCTGTGGGTCCTGTCACAACTATCAAGAAAGCGTTTTAGGTCAAGGTTAATATTGGAATTTAAGGTCCTCTATATGTAGATTGCACAGTAGTAAGTGTGGATGTTCTGAACAGGGAGTAAGTTTAGATCTATGAAGAGTGGGGGGGGGGGGTGTTGCCAGGGATGGGATTTAGTGATTATTCTTACTGCAGCTTTTTGTTGGGTTATTATTGGCTTTAGATGTGTTGCTGTAGTTGATCCCCAAGCACAAATAGCATAGGTGAGGTATGGATAAATGAGTGAATGGTATAGTGTGAGAAGGGCAGTTTGCGGCACGTAATATCGTATCTTGGAGAGGATCCCCACCATTTTGGAAACTTTTTTTGTTATGTGTTGGATATGGGTGCTGAAATTTAGGTTGTTGTGGAGGTATAGACCAAGGAATTTGCCCTCATTATGTCTGGTAATTAGAGTGTTGTCGATCTTAATGTTAAGTTGCGCAACACCTGCTCTGCTACCAAACATAATGTAGTAGGTTTTGTCAGTGTTAAGTGTAAGTTTATTGACTGTCATCCAAGTCAGAATTTTGAGCAGCTCCTCGTTGACAATGGTGTTGAGGGTGGCAAGATTAGGGTGGGAGATGACATAAGTCGTGTCGTCAGCAAAGAGAATGTCGATAGAACCATATGCAGATTATCCCAAATAAAAGCTTTTCTGAGGGCTTGTGTGAAATATAGGCCTTTCAACAGCTAGTCCTGACTTGAAGTAACAGAAAATAAGATTTATAAGAAAACGGACGTAATAGTGAGGAGAGGCTGCATCATGCAGGGCAATTATCAAGTATTGAACCAGGACAAGGTCCTCAGGATGCTGGAGAATCTGTCATATGGGGTCAGAACTAACTATTATCACACCACTTAAATATCTTGGTGAATCACAGAGGAAGAAATGTCTCACGTAGCCGTTGGATGCCATATTTTAATGACAATAGTTTTGTAATGGTATATGCTATTATTATTTTTACAATAGACAACAATAATAATAATACTTGAAAATAATACCAACAATAACAGTAGTAAAAGCAGCATCAGTAAACAACATTCAAAGTTAATAAATTCTTCACACACATAATACGAAAAAGGAGAGGAATGGGAGGACGGAGCAGAGGGAGTCGTACAAGAGAAATACATTAAGTTTGACTACACATTGTCATTCTTATGTGGCTTCCTGAGAGCCCCTTCTGTGTGGGGGGAGGGGAGAGGGAGGGAGAGAAAGTGAGTGGGGATAGAGAGGGAGAAATTAATTCAATGTGTCATGGAATCCATAAGAATTGTACATTAATTCCTTTCTGATTTTTTGCAGTATCTATACCTGGGCTCTCCACTGAGCACGTTGATGGAGTCATTGAATCAAGTGTCTTTAGTGATGACAAAATCGTGAAGCACTAACATTATGGGGTGAAGCTGGGTGTTATAACTATATTGTCCTTCAGATGATAAACAATTCAGTTTGTAATGTAGAAGTCCAGGAGTTAATTCTTGTGTCTAGCTCAATATAGTCGCTATAAGGGATAAAAAGTCACAGCACCGTGGCTGGAACAGTTCACCAACAACTCTCTCTTAGGAGAGGGATCTTATGACAACGCTTCTGTTCCTCCTGGATCATTGTCAGGTTATAACAGTCGTGACTTGACGATCATCCCGGACTCACCAAACTTGGTGCACAATAAACTAGCCGCTCAGGTAGCACAGCCTAAGGCGTCATCAGGTTCCTCTCTTAATTGAAGGTTTTTGGTAATATCTGCTAAGTTTCTTATCTAGGGAAGTGGCAGAAAGAGGAGCACATAGCTGACATTTATTTAATGTAATGTCTAACTCATACTCAGAGAAAGGAAAATCACTCATTAATATTTTGACTCGTGAACAAAATGTATTTCAACCATTCTTCAAAGGTAGTTTCTAAATTTGTTCAAATATGAGATGGGAGATTTTCATTTGTGGAAGTTTTGGCTTAAATATTTATGAGGTCATTGGGTTTTTCATGAAGGTCAGGAGGAACAATATTAGCATTCTTTTCCTTAAATATTTTATTTATACCTTTTCAGGCTAGACTGAGAGGAAGTAATCTGTTAAACCCATAACAAATTATTCCTGTCCTTTAAGTTATTTTCTGTTCCTTGTCTTCTTAAATTTAACAGTCAGCAAAGCACTGAATCTGTGGTACTACAGTTACGTCATGTTTTGCCATTCCTTTATCTACACATGAAAAAAAATGAAAAGGGACAAAAATATACGTGTTAACAGCAAACAAAATCAGAAAAAAATTGATTGGAGGTCGTCAAAGAAAATAGACTTGACTAAGAAAAGAGACACTTTGCGATAACTTAATGTTATTTCAATTTAGACCAAAGTGGGTCACAGCGCCTGGGAGAAGGGAAGTAATGAGGTTTGATAAAAGAAAGGTAAGGGGGGTAGCTCTGTTTCCTCGTATCAGAAGAGAATTGAGGGGGTCACGTGGGAAACCAGACACAAGATCAAGTCGTCAAAATAATACAATGAAAAACTAAATTTCTAACTTATATTACATGTACGCCCACAACAACCACATCCACGATGCACTCACGCCCACAGCTACGCCCACGATGTCCACCCACCTCTCTGATGTGCCTCTGCAAGCCCACGACGCCGAAGCTCCGGATGACGAACCACAATTTGATCGCTCGGAAGCGTTTGCTCAGTCCGATCTGCCAATGCTGCAGTCAACAACATCGTACAACGTGGCGTTAATAATACAGTAGTTTAGCAGGAAGGATGATTACAGTTTTAGGCGGAGGGGGAAATTACAGTTTTAGGCGGAGGGGAAAATTACAGTTTAGGAGGGAGAGAAATCAGTTTATGTAGCTGACAACAAGAAATTTCTACATAGCTGACAACAAAAAAACGTCATCTTAACATCAGAGGGCGGACCTGTAAAAACAAAATGTGGCCTTTTAAGTAAAAAAAAAATGGTTATTTACGAATAATAGGATGAGAATACGAGTATGTGTGTAACAGTGAAGATGTAGAGGCAGTGAAATGCATTACAGAGTAGTGAAGCAGAGGTAGGTATTAACATCTCACAGAGTAAAGTTACAACCGCTGCAAATTTTACACCAATTTACTTACCATATAATCAATTGCAAGACCTGAAAATGGATAACAGAAAAGATAGAACCATTGTAGTAGTTAGAAATAGTTGTTTTTGCTGCTGTTATAACCATTATGTCAATAACTATTGTAAAACTCAACGATTACTATACTTAAAGCTGATGGCTGAATTTTAAAGTCACTAAGGACAGGAGTACGTACTTGCTTGAACATTCCACTGACACTGTGACTATGTAAGCTATGTGTACTTTACATGTACATGGAGTACAAGTGTGATAAAGGCTCTATATTGTTTGTATACGCTTTACTTTTATTTTAACTATGATTACAGTTGTAGCCTGTGTGATAGAATGAAAAGAAAAGACAGTTAAGGGAGGGAGATGGATAGTGACTGAATGAATATGGAAGGAGAGAGAGAGAAAATGAGCTGATGTAGGTAACAGTTCTTAGCTTGTAAATAAAGTTAAGAACTTTAGCCTAACCTTGTAAAACCATGTGTAAAAAATTGAGGAAATGAATATGGAAGAAGGTTTAATGGTAGCAACCTCGTCTCTCAAACAACAGACGTCATGTTGTGCAAGAAAGGTATAAAATACCGACAATATGAAAGTTAAGACACATGTGCAACATCTGGATATCTTTATTGTAAACGTTTCGCCATCCAGTGGCTTTATCAATACAGATTCTAGGACATAATTGGAAGACAGTAGAACTATATACAAAAGATGAGGTAATCAGTCCCTCAGCCTTGGAGTAAGTGCTCACAGCATCGTGGTGGAGGAGAATCTGGAGCAAAGGCAAGAAGACTGGCGGTTATATAGGCGTCAGTGGATAGGGACGGGCAGCAGACGAGGGCATAGTCACTGGTAGGCGGGATTCCCCAGTGGAAGTAGGTCTTTCCCAAAGAGATGGGTTAGTTGTAGAAGACGTGAAGAAGGTCTTGTAGATGTCCTCTGAATCAAGATTCCATGATGTTGCAGTGTCCGACAAGTTGTGCAAGAAAGGTATAAAATACCGACAATATGACGCCTATATAACCGCCAGTCTTCTTGCCTTTGCTCCAGATTCTCCTCCACCACGATGCTGTGAACACTAGCTCCAAGGCTGAGGGACTGATTACCTCATCTTTTGTATATAGTTCTACTGTCTTCCAATTATGTCCTAGAATCTGTATTGATAAAGCCACTGGATGGCGAAACGTCTACAATAAAGATATCCAGATGTTGCACATGTGTCTTAACTTTCAACAGACGTCATGTTGGATCCTGGGATGGGTGGAGACGTATGTCTCCTAACACCTGCTGTCCCTTTCCGCCTAACAGTTAATAGGTACCTGGGTGTTAGCCACCTGTCCTGAGTGGCATGCTGAGGGGAGTGTGCGGCAGCAGCATACCTTAGAAAGGGCTGGACTTTGAAAAGAGCTATACTATGATAAAAGCGCTCAATAATAGCCCACATGGAGACAGAAACACAGGAGAATGATTTATCTGTATATTTCGATCCCCTTCTGGGATCCTCTTCAGCGATGAGGATAGTCTTTGCTGTATATACTAGGTTGATGCTAAGTGAAAAAGGGAGGGTGAAAGAACAGGAGAAGAGGACTATCGTAATATGATGCATGCATAGACGGGTAGAAGTCAAGATTAAGATTATTTCTTAAGAACGTACGTAAACTTTTATTAATGCCTTGTGATTTTTTTCAACATATAAAACATACATTAACGTGCATAATTAAAAGCTGGATGTAAAAGTTCTGAAGATAAGTTGGTTCTACAAGTCTGAAGGTAAAGTTGTGTTCCACAAGATCTGAAGAAAGTTGGTTCTACAATTTCTGAAGAAAGTTGTTCTACAGTTCTGAAAGAAAGAAGAAAGTTTGGTTCTACAAGTTCTGTAGAAAGTTGGTCTACAAGTTCTGAAGAAAGTTGGTTCCACAAGGTTCTGATAGAAAGTGGTCTACAAGTTCTGAAGAACAGTTGGTTTTCTACAAGTTTGAAGAAAGTTGGTTCTACAACGTTCTGAAGAAAAAGTTGGTTCTACATGTTCTGAAGAAAGTTGGTTGCTGCTAGATCTGAAATGAAAGTTGGTTCTGCAAGATCTGAAGAAAGTTGGTTTCTTGCAAGATATGAAAGAAAGTGGGTTCTGGTGATCTGAAGAAGTTGTTCTACACAGTAGGTTCTGAAGAAAGTTAGTTGGTTCTGGAAAGATCTGAAGAAAGTTGGTTCTAAATTCTGAAGAATGGTTGTGGTTCTGGAAGATCTGAAGAAAGTTGGTTCTAAAAGTTTTCATGAAGAAAGTTGGTTCTGGAAGATCTGAAGGAAAGTTGGTTCTACAAGATCTGAAGACAAGTTGAGTTCAACAGTTCTGAAGAAAGTTGGTTCTGGAAGATCTGAAGAAAGTGGTTTCTACAAGTTCTGAAGAAAGTTGGTTTCTACACGATCGATAGAAAGTTGGTTCTTCTGCAAGAATCTGAAGAAAGTTGGTTCTACAAGATCCTGAAGAAAGTTGGTTCTAAAGATCTGAGAAAGTTGGTTCTGGAAGATATGAAGAAAGTTGGTTCTACAAGATTGGTAAGAAAGTTGGTTCTACAAGATCTGAATGAAAGTTGGTTCTACAAGTCTGAAGAAGTTGGTTCTACAAGATCTGAAGAAAGTTGGTTCTAAAAGTTTGAAGAACGTTGGTTCTTACAAGATCTGAAGATAGTTGGTTCTAAAGATCTGAAGAAAGTTCGGGTTCCTACAGTTCTGGAAGAAAGTTGGTTCTACAGTTCTGAAGAAAGTTGGTTCTACAAGATCTGAAGATTGTTGGTTCCACAAGTTGAAGATAGTTGGTTTCAAGTTCTGATGAAAGTTGGTTCTACAAGATCTGAAGAATGTGGGTTTCTACAAGATCTGAGAAAGTTGTGTTCTACATAGATCTGAAGAAAGTTTGGTTCTACAAGATCTGAAGGGAAAGTGGTTTTCTACAGATCTGAAGATAGTTGGTTCTACATGATCTGAAGACAAGTTGGTTCTACAAGATTCTGAAGAAAGTTGGTTCTACAAGATCTGAAAGAAAGTTGGTTTAAAAAGTTCTGAAGAAAAGAAAGTTGGTTCTACAAGATCTTGAAAGAAAGTTGGTTATTACAAGTCTGAGAAAGTTGGTTTACAAGATTGAAGATGAAAGTTGGTTCTACATGATCTGAAGAAAGTTGAGTTCTACATATATGAAGAAAAGAAAGTTGGTTCTACAAGTGACATGAAGAAGTTGGTTCTACAAGTTCTGAAGAAAGTTGTTCTACAAGAAGCTGTAGAAAGTTGGTTCTAAAAAGTTCTGGATGAAAGTTGGTTTATACAAGTTCTGAAGAAAGTTGGTTCCACAAAGTTCTGAAGAAAGTTGGTTTTTCTACAAGTTCTGAAGAAGTGGTTCTACAAGATCTGAAGAAAGTTGGTTCCACAAGTGTTTGAACAATAGTTGGTTCTACATAGATCTGAAGAAAGTTGGTTCTATAAGATCTCGAAGGAAAGTTGGTCTACAAGATCTGATGAATAGTTGGTTCTACAAGATCTGAAGAAAGTTGGTTCTACAAGATCTGAATGAATAGTTGGTCTTCAAAGATTCTGAAAGAAAGATTGGTTTCTACAAGATCTTGAAGAAAGTTGGTTCTACATGATCTGAGAAGATAGTTGGTTTTCAAGATCTGCAAGAAAGTTGGTTTACAAGATCTGAAGAAAGTTGGTTCTAACATAGTTCTGAAGAAAGTTGGGGTTCTACAAGTCTGAGGGAAAGTTGGTTCTACAAGATTCTGAAGATAGTTGGTTCTAACAAGTCTGAAGGAAAAGTTGTTCTACAAGTTCTGAAGAAGTTGTTTCTACAGGTTCTGAAGAAAGATTGGTTCTACTAAGTTCTGAGGAAGAGGAAGTTGGTTTTTCTACAAGTTCTGAAGAAAAAGAGAGAAAAGTTGGGTTCTACAAGTTTGAAGAAGAAAGTTGGTTCTACTAAGATCTGAAGAAAGTTGGTTTAATCACGATCTGATAGAAAGAAAAGTGGTTCTACAAGATTCTGAAGAATGTTGGTTCTACAAGGTTCTGAAGAAAGTTGGTTATACAAGTTCTGTAAGAATGTTGGTTCTCAAGTCTGAAGAAAGTTGGTTCTAAAGTTCTGAAAGAAAGTTGGTTCTACAAGATCTGAAGGAAAGTTGGGTTCTATCAAGATCTGAAGAAAGTTGGTTCTACAAGATCTGAAGAAAGTGGTTCTACAGTTCTGAAGAAAAGTTGGTTCTACAAGTTCTGAAGAAAGTTGGTTCTACCAAGTTTTTTTTTCTTGGAAGAAAAGTTGGTTCTACAGTTCTGATAGAAAGTTGGTTCTTTCAAGTTCTGGATGAAAGTGGTCTACAGTTCTGAAGAAAGTTGGTCTCTACTAAGTTCTGAAGGAAAGATGGTTCTAAAAGTTCTGAAGTAAGTTGGTTTACAAGTTATGAAGAAAGTTGGTTCTACAGAGTTCTGATGAAGTTGTTCTTCAAGATTTGAGATGTTGGGTTCTACAAGTTCTGAAGAAAGTTGGTTTCTACTAAGTTCTGAAGTAAGTTGGGTTCTAAAGTTCTGAAGGAAGAAAGTTGGTTCTACAAGTTCTGAAGTAAGTGGTGTCTACATGTTCTGAAGATAGTTGGTTCTACAAGATCTGAAAGATAGGTTGGGTTTCTACTAGTTCTGAAGAAAGTTGGTTCTTCAAAGTTCTGAAGGAATAGTTGGTTCTACAAGTTCTGAAGAAGTTGTTCTACTAGTTCTCTGAAGAAGTTGGTTCTACAAGTTCTGAGAAGGTTGGTTCTACAAGTTCTGAAGAAAGTTGGGTTCTACAAGATTCTGAAGAAAGTTGCGTTATACAAGATCTTGAGATTGTTGGTTCTACATGATCTGAAGAAAAGTTGGTTCACAAGATTGAAGAAAGTTGGTTCTACAAAGCTCTGAGGAAAGTTGGTTTCTACAAGTTATGAAGAAAAGTTGGTTCTCAAGATACGAAGAAAGTTGTTCTACAAGATTGAAGAAATTTGGTTCTACAAGATCTGAAGAAAGTTGGGTTTCAAGATCTGAAGAAGTTGGTTTCTACAAGATCTGAAGAAAGTTGGTTCTACCAAGATCTGAGAAAGGTTGGTTCTACAAGATCTGAAAGAAGTTGGTTCTACAAGATCTGAAGAAAGTTGGTTCTACATGTTCTGAGAAAGTTGGTTCTACAAGTTTGAGTAGTTGGTTCTACAAGTCTGAAGAAAAGTTGGTTCTTACAAGTTCTGTAGAAAAGTTGGTTCTACAAAGATCTGAAGAAGAAAGTTGGTTCTACAAGATCTGAAGAAAGTTGGTTTCTTAAGTCTGAAGAAAGTTGGTTCTACAAGATATGGATCAAAGTTGGTTCTTCAAAGGTTCTGGAAGAAAGTTGGTTTCTACAAAGATCTGAAGAAAGTTGGTTCTACATGTTCTGAAGAAAAGGTGGTTCTAACCAAGATATGAAGAAAGTTTTGGTTTCTACCAGTTCTGAAGAAAGTTGTGTTCTAAAGTTCTGAAGAAGTGGTTTTACAAGATCTGAAGAATGTTGGTTTTTTTACACTGATTGATGAAAGGTTTGGATCTACAAGATCTGAAGAAAGTTGGTTCTACTATATCTGAAGAAAGTTGGTTTACAAGTTCTGAAGAAAGTTGAGTTCTATCAAGTCCTATGAATGAATGTTGGTTCTACAAGTTCTGAGAAAGTTGGTTTCTACAAGTATCTGAAACATAAGTGGGTTCTACAAGTTCTGAAGAAAAGTTGGTTCTACAAGGATCTTGTCAGAAAGTTGGTTCTACAAGATACCTGAAGAAGTTGGTTCTAAAGTTCTGAAGAAGGAAAGTTGGTTCTACAAGTTCTGGTAGAAAGTGGGTTCTTCAAGTTCTGAAAGAAAGTTTGGTTCTATCAAGTTCTGAAGAAAGTTGGTTCTACAAGTTCTGAAGAAAGTTGGTTCTACAAGATCTGAAGAAAGTTGGTTCTACAAGATCTGAAGAAAGTTGGTTCTACAAGTTCTGAAGAAAGTTGGTTCTACAAGTTCTGAAGAAAGTTGGTTCTACAAGATCTGAAGAAAGTTGGTTCTACAAGATCTGAAGAAAGTTGGTTCTACAAGTTCTGAAGAAAGTTGGTTCTACAAGATTTGAAGAAAGTTGGTTCTACAAGATCTGAAGAAAGTTGGTTCTACAAGATCTGAAGAAAGTTGGTTCTACAAGATCTGAAGAAAGTTGGTTCTACAAGATCTGAAGAAAGTTGGTTCTACAAGCTTTAATTTAAAGAAAACTGAAACTGACTGGAGTGATTATTTTTATTATATTTTACTGATTTATATTTTTGTTTTAGCGTGAATTTCATGTTAATATTTATGTACCACTTTTATTAAGTGTCGTCAGAAATTGTTACTGATTATTATGTGTCTCACACAGCCTTCCAGACGGCCTCCCTCCCCTCCCTCCCTCCCTCCCTCCCCCCTCTGGCCTCTCTTCCTCCCTCTGACCCATCTCTTCCCCCCTTGACCTCTCTCCCTCCCTCTTCTGACCATTCCCCCCTCCCCCCCTCGGGCCCATTCTCCCTTTTTTTCCCTCTGAGCCATCCTCCCCCCTCTCGGGTATCTTCTCCCCCCCTCTCTCTCTGACCCATTTCTCCCTCTCTTCCCTCTGAGCCACCCCTCCCCCCTCTTGGGTACTCTCCCTTCCTCCTTTGAGCCCCCCTCATCTCTCCCTCCCTCCCCTGTGTTCCGTGGTGTAGGTAGGGGGGGGTCCACAGGAAGGTGCGATGGGGGGCCGTGTTCTTGCCCCTGCCACCGTAAATAAGGTTAAAAACACAATATACTCATAAATAAAAAATTCGTAAAAAATACAACAAAACCAAAGTCCAAAAGTTTTGGGGTTTTTACAAATTTGTTGCCACACAAATTTTGAGTGGGAAGGTTTTTTAAAAAGGCCACAAGAAAAAAAAAAAATACAAGACCCTTTAATAAATTTTTCACAAAATGGTTTTTTCCCCACAAAGGTATGGGAGCCCCCAAAAGAAAAAAAATTACCTACCCCAATTTCCCCCAGACTCGGAGAACAGTAAAATCCGTTATTTTCAAGTGGTTAGTTTCTCGCCGCTAGAACCAAACCGGTGCCGGGGTTACTGAATCCCTCAAATTTTCCTTGTTGCACTCAACGGAAAAGCCGATCCAAAAACCATTTTTTCCACTGAGAAATCGAAGTTTACAGTGCCCGCTGGTGCACAAACACCTCCTCTGGAAAAACCCCAAACCCTCCCCAAAACTTCTGCAAATTTCCCCCAACTTTCTTCCCTTAAAAAATCGTTTTTTTTTCAACCTCCTTTGCCATTTTCAATGCCAAACCATCTTAAACAAAATCGTGCTCCCACAACATTTTTATCGTCCTTCATTCTTATACGCTGTATAAATCATAATTGCTTTTTTGATCCCGGTGAGAATCAAAATCTACAATGGAAAAAAAATCACATTTTCTTTAGGTCATTTATAGTTTAAATAAAAATTTATAACTGGCTTTTCGTTTTAAAAAGTTTCGTGTAACAGGATATTTAGTATTGCTCATTAAAAATTTAAAAATTTTAAACTAATCCCCCGGGGCCTCGTCGCTGCAACAATTAAAGCCCATGCTTCACACCCATACAAAATTATTGGCACCGGTGTTTCCCTTTATACATCCATTCTCTTTCCTTCCACAAATTCCTCAAGACATCTGATACTTTCCTCTCATCGTCTGTGATTCACCTCTACAATCATTTATACATATGTCAACACACTCATTACATATAAGTATATTCACTTCCTCCATACATCCTCAACTCTTACACACACACACACATACACACACACACACACACATACACACACACACACACATACACACACACAACGGAAGGGATAGACTCAGAAGTGTCCTTGTTTGCGGATGATGTGAAGTTAATGAGAAGAATCAAATCGGATGAGGATCAGGCAGGACTACAGAGAGACCTGGACAGGCTACAAGCCTGGTCCAGCAACTGGCTCCTTGAGTTTAACCCTGCTAAATGCAAAGTCATGAAGATTGGAGAAGGGCAAAGAAGACCGCAGACACAATATAGTTTAGATGGCCAAAGTCTGCAAACCTCACTAAAGGAAAAAGATCTGGGGGTGAGTATAACACCGAGCATATCTCCTGAGGCGCACATCAATCAGATAACTGCTGCAGCATACGGGCCTGGCAAACCTACGGATAGCTTCCGAAACCTCAGTAAGGATTCGTTCAGACTCTGTATACCTTTTACGTCAGGGGCCCATACTGGAGTATGCAGCACCTTTTTGGGAAACCCAAACACCTAGTCAACACGTCAAGAAATTAGAGAAAGTGCAAAGGGGTTTAACAACAAGACTAGTCCCAGAGCTACGGGAATTGTCCTACGAAGAAAGGTTGAGGGAAATCGGCCTGACGACACTGGAGGCCAGAGGGTCAGGGGAGACATGATAACGACATGTAAAATACTGTGCAAATAGACGAGGTGGACAAAGATGGGATGTTCCAGAGATGGACACAGACACAAGAGGTCACAATTGGAAGTTGAAGCCCTCAGATGAATCAAAGGGATGTTGGGAAATATTTTTTCAGTCATAAGTAGTCAAGCCATAGAATAGCCTAGAAAGTGAAGTAGTGGGGGCGGGAACCATGCATAGTTTTAAGGCGGGGTATGATCAAGCTCAGGGAGCAGGAGAGAGAGGACCTAGTAGCAGTCAGTGAAAAAAGGCGGGGCCAGGAGCTATGACTCGACCCCTGCAACCACAAATGGGTGAGTACAAATAGGTGAGTACAAATAGGTGAGTACACACACAAACACACATAACACACACACATACACATACACACACACGCACACACACATACACAAAACACACATACCACACAAAACATACACAAACAACACACAAAACCACACACACATATAAAACACACACATACACACACACACTCATACACACACACACACACACACACACTCGTGGAGGAGTCACGCGATTTGAGCTCGGTTTTGGGGGTAATTTCTGACTGTGCCATAAGGAATAAAAGTGTGGGAAATATAGGCGTGTGCACGCATAAGAAGTGCATATAATCATTTAAAAGCCCCGAAAAAAGGAAATATAAGTGATTATAGAAAAGAAAAAAAAGGGAAAAATAGTGACTAAGTGTTTAGTGGGGGCCGTTGAAGGGTGAAGGGTTTTGTGTCAGGCCTAAATAGTGTTGCCATAATAACGCAGTGGGGTTTTTTGAAAGAATACGTGCGACTCAAGACCAGGGAGATAAGAGATATGTATAGATGTGTCAGAAAATACAGTGAGTGAGTGAAAAAATTAGATGACTAAGACCACAGTGCCTACAGGAAGTTAGTGGAAAATTACCGAGAAGCATCAAGCATTTTCAAACTGGGCCCCCAGGAGGACGACAACATTACTCCACTGCCACAATATTCAAGTAATATTCACCTATTTTTGAGTTGCATGGGTCACACCAGTCTCTAGCGGGAAAATTTGGGGGGTCACTCTCCTTGAGCTATCAGAATTAGAATAAGCAGCATTTACGGGCATTTAATAGAATTTATTGAGGTTTAGGAGAGTTAAGCAGTTAAAGATAGATAGCCTAGTAAGAGAGGTAGCCTAGCGAAGCCTAGCATACAGAATTGAACGAAATTTTTTAGACTCAAGATAGTACAGTGGGAACCAAGAGATTGGGTACATATGCAAAACATGTGTAGTACATACGAGGAAATAAGGACTGCTTACATAAACACAACGCATACACACACACATGCACACACACAACACAACGCACACACACACACAACACACATACACACACATACACACATACACACACACTACACATATACACACATATACAAAACCAAAACACACACACAACACACACACACACACACACACACACACACATACACACACACATACACACACACACACACAATATACGGAATTTCACACCTTTATGTGAATTTACGTAATTTTAGGCACACAAGACAGTACAGTGGAAACCAAGAGGTAGGGTACTATGCAAAACATATGTAGTACATACGAGGGGAAATAAGGACTGTTTTACAAAAAATGCACGCATACACACACACATACACACACACTAGGTGAGAACAGGATCTGCTGTTAGGCACTTGAATACTGTAGCAACACACACACACCACACACACACACACACACACACACAAAACACACACACACACACACATACACATACACATAAACATATACAGGATTTCACCCCTTTATGGAATTGACCCTCTAACCCTTCCTTCTCTCTCCGTCTCTTTGTCTTTTTTCCTCTCTTCCTCTCTCTCTCTCTCCTCCTCTCTCTCTTCTCCTCTCTCTTCTCTTACTCTTTCTGCTCTTCCTCTCCTCCTTAATCTTTCTCTCCCTTCCTCTCTCTCTATTCCTCTCTCTTTCCTCTCCCCTCCTTCCTCTCTCTTCCTCTCTCTTTTTTCCCTCTCTCTCTTCCTCTGCCTTTTCCTCTTTTCCCTCTTTTTCTCTCTTCCTCTCTCTTCTTTTTCTCTCCTCTCTCTCTCTCTCTTCTCTCTCTCCCCTCCCCTCCTCACTCCCCTCTCCCCCCTCTCTTTTCCTCTCTCTCTTTTCTCTCTCTCTTTCTCTCTTTCCTTTACTAAAAAAAAAAAAAAATGGTTGGGACTCTTTAGGAATCAGGGATCAGATACAAAGGTACTGGTAGGGAGGAATGGATGGAGGAGCAGGGGAGAAGGATGGAGCAAGAATGGAGAGAAAATCAGGAGAGCTTCCTGAAAAAATGGAGAAAGAGCTCTCTGCAAAATGGGAAAAGAGGTTGGAGAAGGAGACGAAGAAATGGGAGGCACAATCGAAACGCAGTAGACAGGGTTTGGGGCCTAGAGTTTTTAGGTAAACAGGTTGAAGCAAGTCTCAGGGGCAGTGACCAGAAAGACACAGCATATGAAGCTGAGAGGATGAACAGGAAGGAAGGAGATATGAATTATGCTAAAGTCATATCAGCCTGCAAAGAAGGGTCAGGGAGTAAAAGGAAAGAGCAGCTGGGTGCAGATAGAGAGGGAGATAAGTCCCAATGCTGAGGCACAAACCTGCACCAAGAGCCACTGGAAAAATCAAGGGAGAAAATGACCATATACAGACAGGAACCAGAGTCACAGAGGAGAGGCAATGGGAGGAGGAAAGGGCAAAATCAGTATTTATCCATGGGCTTCGGGAGAGAGAGGAAAAGACACACACTGAAAGACGGCAGGAAGAAAGGAGACTGGGAAAATCATCACGGAAATAGGGGGGGAAAAACAGGACATGATTGTAAATTTTCAGAGAATAGGGGGGTACGTGAAGGGAGAAACCGACCGATCAAGCTGATTCTCAGGACAAAAACATGAGGAACAGGAATCCTCCAAGAGAAACCAAGGTACCAAACTCAGAAGAGTACAAGAAGGGTTCCTAGACAGAGACAGAACACAAACAGAGAGACGGCAGCTGAGGGAGAGGACAAAAAAGCGAAAGGAGATAGGAAAGGGAAAAAAGGATGGAACCAGGGAGAGGTCAGTCAGACAGAACAAGAAGCAAGGGCAAGCACACACACAACTATCCCCCAGAACCCCACAAACCTATCACACCATCCCAACACAAAATACAATCCATACCCACAGCTTCCACCCAACCCCCAAAATAGAAACCCACAGTATGCTACCAGTCTCCCACCCCCACAGGCCCCCAAACCACAGTAAATTGGGAAAAGG